TTTGTGTTTGTATCATACATAATATTTGGGTTTATATATAGTATTTTACATAAATACATAAATATATATATATATATATAGTTTTGGGCTACACTTTACATAAATGCTTTTAAAAATGTATAAAAATAGATAGATAGATAGATAGATAGATAGATAGATAGATAGATAGATAGATAGATAGATAGATAGATAGATAGATAGATAGATAGATAGATAGATAGCATCTCATGCCATCTCATCAGTTATCTCAAAAAGTGGCCCGATTTCCCCGAATTCATCCAGTATAATGACACGAACCCAGACAAGTGATTTGATTTAAACCGAAAGCATAGAAACATTGAAATATTTTAGCTGAAAAACCTTTATGTCATAGTAACAGCAACAATGAGCGACACACAATGAGCGGCACACAATACATTGTTCGGCACAGCTTCATTACAGCGCAACTGAAGTCCTACAAGGTGAAGCAGAATGGTTCGCCTTTCTGAAGCTCTCCGGTGTCTCCCCATTTGTGTTCCAACCTCTCACCATCTCTGATTATTGAGGTCACGATAAACAAATGAGTGGCCATTACTCACAGACTACAGATGACCTCAGCGCACACGCCCCCTCCCACCATTGCTGTGTGATAAATGATCCCGCTGTCATACAGACAGATGATGCTGCCTTTGTTAATCTGTTATGTGGTGACGTTACTCGATCTTCCTGTTTTCTAGCCCAATTTTCCCCCTCTCCTCGTGCTGATGTGCGGATGCCAGTCACCGAGCGATGATGGCAGAGACCTCCCGTGAACTTGACATGAACTCCTCCGATCAATCAGTGTTGAGCCTCCACTCTGACCATACCTGTCTGACAGCTTTTAACACCCTCTGTGTTTAAATGCTAACACTCACACACACACACACACACACACAAGGAACTATAGCTCTACCTGCATGTATTGCACTGATGGTACATTGCCTTCAACATACACCAGCCATCTCTTGACCAGCGTTATGCATCTTTCACTAAAGTGCACAGAGTTTATAAGCTGTAACATAGGGGTATTTTGTCATGTGTGATATCTGTTGGCCAGTATGACATTAATATCGTTTAACAGTCCACAGGTGCGTTAAGTGTGGTTCCGTATGGAATTCAGAATGCCTTTCATATTCAAATTCCATTTGAATTGAAGATCCAAACAGAATGCAGAATTGCAATTTGAATGTGAATGTTAGTAAGTAGAATTAAAATAAAGTAAAATTTAAAGAAATTCCCAAAACGGTATTATGTATGTACAGTATGTATTTATTGTACAAGAAACGCAAAGTTTGTCAAGGCATATAGGTATAAAAAGTCTTGAAGTTTGAAGGTGTAAGGTGTCATAGATAGATAGATAGATAGATAGATAGATAGATAGATAGAATGACAAATAGAACGATGGAAAGAAGATAGAATGATAGATAGATTGAAGATCAATAAATAGAAGGATAAAGAAAAACAATAAAACAATAGATTGATAGAACAATAAATAGGATGATAGACAGACAGACAGACAGACAGACAGACAGACAGATAGACAGATAGACAGATAGACAGATAGATAGATAGATAGATAGATAGATAGATAGCTAGAATGACAAATAGAACGATGGAAAGAAGATAGAATGATAGATAGATTGAAGATCAATAAATAGAACGATAAAGAAAAACAATAAAACAATAGATTGATAGAACAATAAATAGGATGATAGACAGACAGACAGACAGACAGACAGACAGACAGACAGATAGACAGATAGATAGATAGATAGATAAAATGGCAAATAGAACGATGGAAAGGAGACAGAATGATAGATAGAAGATCAATAACAAGAACAATAAATAGAACGATGGAGAAAAACAATAAAACAATAGATTGATAGGACAATAGATAGAATGATAGAGAGGACGGACGGACGGACGGACGGATGGATGGATGGATAGATAGATAGATAGATAGATAGATAAGACAGACAGACAGACAGACAGACAGACAGACAGACAGACAGACAGACAGACAGACAGACAGACAGATAGATAGATAGATAGATAGATAGATAGATAGATAGATAGATAGATAGATAGATAGATAGATAGATAGATAAAATGACAAATAGAACAATGGAAAGGAGACAGAATGATAGATAGAAGATCAATAACAAGAACAATAAATAGAACGATAGAGAAAAACAATAAAACAATAGATTGATAGAACAATAGAACGAACGACAGACAGACAGACAGACAGACAGACAGATAGATGATAGATAGAT